ATTATATTTATTATTATTATTAATACTAACCGATTATTAGTATTGATAACTGTCTAAAAATATTTATCGCAGCTCTTCACAAGACGCATTATATTTCCAAAGCCTTTAAATTCCTAAATTGAATTACAATTCTCGTGCATGTTGTTTTGTAGAAAAGAAGAGATAAACTTTGTTAACCCATTTACATAACAAAGCTAAGAAAATCGCATTAAAATTTATTCGCTTAATAAAGTTAGATAAATTAGAGTTTTTATCAAAATTAATATAATAGAGTTCTAATAAAACTAATTTCTGTAAAAACATTTCATTATTTAATTCTAATAAATATATCTTTTAATATTTTTTATATTTTATATTTTACTATCTTGATTATTTATTTCAAGTAATGCATTGATAATCATGTAGCATTCACTAAACTTGTGCGTATGATGAGATGTGCATGTTTGATAAACGAGTATGTTAATTTGCAACATTGTATATTCGATTCGGGTCGGAATTGCACAACTCTCTGAATTTGCTTCCTTTGTCATTATTCCAAAGAAAGTTCTAACAAAGATAGGAGAATGTCGCAGCATTTACATTAACAAGGTTCGCTATTTACCAAACAGTGTAGCATCTACTCAGCCATACGCCTTATGAGTTAACGAGCTCGGCTCTCATAAAAGGTACAACCGCTTCTCACCTATTCTTATTAACCAAGATACAGTATTCGCTGCATTATGTACTTCATTATGTTTACAAAAAGATATTAACAGCTTACCATAGCTTACGGGAAATTTTTTATAAGTCTTTATGTTTTCATCATCGTTTTTTGAAAATATTTTTTATTTTCCGTATAATCTCTCTCTCTCCCAGTTAATTTATATAAGTACTATTTAAAAAAGTAATTTCCGCGATTTTATAACAAATCACGAATTTAAATTTCTGTCATTGTTAATTCAATTTTATATTGTATAGTAGACATTTCATTAAATTGTATATATGCACATATACTAATTTATATCCAAAATATATTTATATCAACTTGAATAAAATGTATGTTTCCTGAATAATATCTTATTGTTAAACTAATAATGTTACTATAGAAATAATTTGTAATCATGTAGATAATTTTATTATAGATAAATATTTTATCATATACTACAATTGCAAACAATTATTAAATATTCATTATCAAATTTGTCATATTTACGTGATTATTCATATTTATTTTAAGAAATATCTTTAGAATAAACGAATCAGTCACCGCACATATTACATAAAGCGGTTGTCGGATTGTGGTTTGCGTGTTCGGAACACGTTTGAGTTGCCACAATGTGCGCGCCGAATATTATTTTTCCTTAATATTCCTTTTCTCCATTTTTTTCCGAGAATGTAATACAAGAATTATTTCGTCATTATAGTTGTTTTATTACATGTATCTTTCCTTATATTTACACGAAATGGCTTTGCATGAGAGACAAATTAGTCAATATAACACTATATCTTATCTTACATCGTACCTGTGAGTTCTAGTTAATGCAATTAGATTTAGATCTTTACATTGAGTTCCTTCAAAGCAAATCAATTATCTAAACGCTAAAAGCAAACTTGATTAATTAAAAACTCGACTTTGTATGTATGAAAATGCTATTTGCAAACTGGGAGAAAAACAGTCGACAGCTCGACAATAAATTCCAAATTAGAATTCTACCACTTTGTATTCGTTTTCCTTTTTACGAGCTTGCTGAGAGAAGGCAATTTGAATGCAACTCGTTCTACTTTGGATCAATCACGAGTCTCTTTCTCATTGAAGTTTAAAACAAAGTTATGAACCTTGACCAAAGTATCCTCTATATCGATCAAAGTAACTTCGGACACAAAACATAACATGGAAGTATTCGTGCAGATTACGTAATTTTCTCGAATGTCAAAGAAAGATATAAGCGCAAAAAGATTAAAAGCAACTACACAACGTTGCTGCAAACATAATGATTATCACGCGCGAAAGGATTAAAAAAATGTCTTTTAATTTTAGAAAAGTTATTGAATATCGATGAGAAAATTAATCGGTCGTCGTCAATTTTCTCTTATGAATTGGAATCTAATAAGTGAGCGCAGTGCAAAACAAAAGAACTAAGAAGCGGTGGAAATCTCAGGACAAGATGAGCTAAGAGATAATTAATTTATTACGAAGTGAATTTTATTTCTATCCTTACAAATTTCATAATTAATTTTCATGCCATACTACAAATTGCAGAAGAATAATGCAATCTCAATTAGAAGCCTTTACAATTATTCAAACAAACAATTATTCTGCAGAAACAATAAAATTGTTTTGTTTTTGAATAAAAAATTCTATTTACCGATCGCGTTATTGCACTTGCTATTAATACAGCTGGGAGAAATTATTAGGATGAAATCAACCGAGTAACTAATGTGCACAGGTAAATGTGTTGGTAATTATAAATTTGAGATAATATATACACAAGAGCGTAATAATCTAGATGAGTGTGATATTTTCTTCCGTCATGCAAAATATTTTCGATTAAATGTTTATACTTTTTGATAATTCCGTGCAATAATAATAAAATAATCATTGTTTTGAGTATAGAATAAAGTCATTTTATAAAATTATTACAAACTTATAATAAAGCAAGGAATGGAAGTAATTCGTTACTTGTAACGAAATTACAGTTACAAGTTTTTTTTTTCGTAACTGTAACGATAACATAGTTATATTTTCTTGGTAACGAATTTTACAGTTACTTTTATCGTTACTTTGCACACGATTGGACATGGTTCGATTGAACACAAGTCACTCATAGCGCTTAAGAAAGCTTAGAAAACTCCTAGACCTGCCCGCTGTGCAGATTGGTGGTTATCAATATTAAAAAACGAAAACGTAACAAGTTATTTTCTCAAATAAATGTAACGAGTTATTTCTAAAAATCGGTAACGGTAACTTATTTCTTTTTCTATTCGATAACGAGTAACTATAACTTGTTACTTTTAAAAAGTAACTTCCTATTCCCTATAATAAACTATAATATTTTAAATAGCAAGGTGACGTCAAATGACACCGTAATAATATTTTAATGACAATTTTTACGTCATTAAAATGTCAAAGACATCATTAAAACCTTAGGATTTTTTATCAATTAGACAAAAAAGCAAAAATATAAAACATGAATATTACGTTAATATAAAAATGTATTTTTTAAAGAAAAACAAAAAATGACATGTAAAAATATAATTCTAGAAATTAGTATTATAAAATGGAATCATTTGTATAGTTTATAATCAATTAATTTTAAATTTAATTATAAAATATATTTTGTAGATTTTAAAAAATATTTTATATCAATCACTCAATCGAGTGATCCGACTACTGATAGAAAACAAAACACCAACAACTCTGTCGATACTTACAAATAATATCCATTTGTCAACAAGGTATATTATTAATTTGGTTATTACGTTGTACTAATTAACGTGGCACTAATTAGAGATTATCGTGTACCTAACGATACACAGTTACTAGTTAAGGAACTTGTTTGCTTTAATTATCAATAATAGTTGACGTTATAACAATGCATGCCTCATCTAGAATAAGAAGAAATAATAGTATCTATTTCATTCTTAATTATAAATTAATTGTAAACGTGAAATATATCCCATTAACTCTAATAAAATATTTGAATATTTGTGTGATCAAATACAAAAAAAAATAAAAGTGACATACTCTTAAAAACTACTAAGAACTACTTATACTATTTAAGTATAAGAAAAGTAAATTTTATAAACATTTATATTTCATATATATGTATAATATAAACGTTGAGTTTTATCGTAAATATGTAAAAACATATATTATTTGCAATGACAAAAATATATTTTATTGCTATCATTTTGATTCTACTTTATACACGTTACAAAAATTATAGTAAGTGAAATTACACATTACATGTGCGTGCTCTTTATATACGAATGCTTTTTTCTTTAGATTTTTGTTCTATTATTATACTTTTTAGAATGTATTTTTTTATATCCGTAACACGATACTAACTATAAGAACTAGAAGTTCTTATATCGTAAATCGAAGAACATTTTTAATCTATGTTGAGAGAATTTTCCAACGACGATTCTATATATTCTCCAAAAAGAGAAACAACTTGCACTGCGAAAGAGGCAATAAGTTTCGCAAAAACTTAGTTTATCAAGATCGAGATCGAATGGGCAAAACTCCAACACGAAACGAGCATCGAGAATATTTTACCAGGGTGTAGGTTTCATCGATCGTTTCTCGAATTACTTGTTGCAAGGGCGATTGTGCTACGAGCCACGGACTTCCTCTTTCGCTTCGTTACATCAAAATTGGACGAGTTTCCTCGTTTCATCGGTTCGTTGATTCACTTCTTCCTTCTTAGCTCATTTTTCAATTGACGCAAGACGGCGTAAAAATAAAAAAAATGATATTCTCTCGCTTTCTTTCATCTCTTTTAAAATACAAAAAAAAACTAGAAAAATTTTCTACATTATATATGTATCAGATTATAAATTTCATGCTATTTATACTCATTATATATTACCTAAATTATGTTTTCCTCTAAAAAAAAAAAGATAAAAAAAGCATCAAATAAAATACGCGTTGAAAGCAAAAAGATATCGCACAAAAAAATATTTATAATTTTTAAATTCAATGGACATTTTAAAATTTTTAAATCTATTTCTTGTTAAATAATACTAAAAAATTGTAATTAGGAGTAAAAGACTATGTAACGCTATAAAACACAATTCTTTCATTATCTCATGCCCAGATTTTGATATCAAAAACATTGTACAATAATTTTTGTATAAATTTTTATTGCAGTACGAAGTAGAACTGTAATATAACTGTAAAATAAATCGAAATGAAAAAAATAAAATTAAAGTAATCATCCCAGAAGTATACAGAAATTCTTTCAAATAATTATTTTTAAAATGTTCGCATAGCCATTTAAATTTTCTGATTATTTCCAAGTAGCGTGACTATTCACAGACGGTATTTCTGTTCACGACGCGCCATTTTCTCTCTATTAAAGTACTTGAATCAAATGGGCTTGCTCCATGTGGCCACAATGGGAGGCAATCCTGATCTTGTCTTCCAGAGCGGAAAGTGTCCTGGGAATCGAAGCATGTGTCAGTAAACTGATTTCTTGAGTGCACATCCCGAATAAAATGACTTGATTGTTTACAAAGTTAAAAAACGGTTTTTTTAAACTTTGTTTAAAAAAGCATAAAATAAAAAGTATGTTTAAAAAAGCTTCTATAGTGTACTTTACAATTATTTCTTCAATGTGCAATAAAGTTTATCTGTAATACGAATCTCTCTCTCTCTCTCTCTTTCTCTCTCTCTCTCCCCCCCCCGTCCTTTTTCGTTTCACATAATAAGTCATTAATATTCAGTTATATTTAATTTACGAAACAAATTCTCAAATAAATTTTTGCGCATTTTAACTTTTATTTAGATTAATTGTTTATTACATTCTTTAAAAGTATTAATTGTAATAATAATTTTAAATTCGGCAAATGAGAGAATGTCAGAAATCATGCTTTAAGATCTCTCGCGCTAATAATATAATTTATATGGTTCAGTCAATACAAGTTCATTGTTACTCAATAAATGAACTACTTGTTCAGCGTAAAGCATGATGATCAAGCAAGATCGGGTTTCTCGCGTCGCGGGATATTTGCTTTTGAATCTCTGGCAAAAGGAAATGCGGAATACATAGCATGCACGGAATGCATAGCATGTACAGCGCATAGATATTGAACTTGCATGGCTATGGGTGCTAATTAGTGGCATGCTTGTTATTTGATTCAATGCATTTTACCTCGAAGATATTGCGATATCCACAATAATTAAATTTCGGTAATTCAGCAAATTAAACTTAGCAATTTAAAAACTATAAGACTATACTTGTTCAATAGTTACTAAATTATTGAAAACATTCTGCTGAAATGATTTAATTTGGCTGTTACAGAGTTCAATTTGTATGTTGATTTCACGATAATTATTGTCATTATAAATTGCAAATTACTGTCATTTTAGTGATGCTCACAATTGTTGCTGATGTTGATTGTACCACGGTGACAGAATAATTCCGTGTTATGGTTTCCGTCTTACCAAACTGAGCAAATATACTAGTTATATGTACAAAATATATATTTAGATTACGCTACATCACAGTGTCAGGAATTTACATACGTTATTAATATGTTATTTATACAAGATTTAAATATAGTAAATATAGCCATTCTAATTCATTTATCAAAGCAGAAAAGAAATTTAATTAAAAAATAACTATCATATTCAAATAAAAAGTTAAAAGGTATTATATGGTACTGTATCTGTCTTAATGAAAATATTATTAAAAAATTGATAGAATAAAAACTCACAAACACTCACAATACTTTATTACATTCAACAATTACTCTGTATTTATTTTAATGAACTAAAAACACACCATTTCTATACCGTGTTACGCTACTAGATGCAATTCACGTAACACAAGGTTGGATTACTAAGTTCCATTTATTATGCATTGTTTGTCCAACAGATATATACAAATACGTATTAAAGTTCTATTTTGATGCGAGATAAATTCTGACGAATAAAAACATAAAATTTTCACAAATAATAGCAATAATATTAATTTGAAACTCATGATTGGAGACATTTTTTAGTTTTACTAACTAGATTTAAAAATGTGAAAGCAACTTAATTGCAGTTAATATTTAACGCGAAAGCAAAGTCTATCTATTTGGTTAATTAAAGCTTAAAAATCTCTCTAATCATAGGTAATTCAAGCTAATGTAACTGATATGATAATAATTATTTCCCAATTGAACATATAATTTGTTATTGTTGAAAATTGTTGTCTATGTATAATATTATAAAATTTACATTAATAATTAGAGAGGGATAATTACATCAGTGCCCTCAATTTCCATTCGGGTTTCAAAGAAACTACACCGCGCTTGTATTTACTAATCGTTTTCACATTTCACAGGAGCAAAACATGAAAGTCAAGAAGCCGCTCTACGTGAGATGCATAATAACGTCTTGACCCATGATTTAAATTAACGCGATTACTCATTCTCTCGAATTTTCCACGTACATACCCTCTGCGCATTCCCGTGTTTTATTTCTCTCACTGCTTTCTCACTTCGACGCTTAGAACCAACGTCAACACATTCAATCTGCAGCGAACATGCTCGTTGCTACCGCGTACCTCCATTCATTTCTCGCTTCGCAATCCTCGAACGGAAAGAACGTACAAAGGTTACCAAGTTAAACGTTATAATTAATTGCTGACATTTCGTTACATCTAGATGAAAGACTCATTAACGAACTCTATGGAATCGTGTTATGTCGCGTATCACTGTGTTGTAGCATTACCTTTCAACTACCTACTATAAACCACACGGTCGCTATAAACCTGAACATCCAACAGAATGGAATGAGAAAAAGTCTTAAAAACCGGACGGAAAAGGAGATAAAAGAAAAAGAAGGCGTAATGCCTGTAAAAATTTACGGGCAAAAAATTGTGCACTGTAAAACGAATGTGTATTCTAAATGATATTGAAACCAAAGGTATAAAAATAACTACCTATAAAAATAAACAGTTTCGAAAATATTTATCATTTTCATATTAAGATTTCCAAGGAAAAGAGATTTAATATATAACGTAGTAATAACATTCTTTTTTTACGAATTCTTTCGAATTTTTCCGATGTTTATTGTAATAAACAGTTTATAGAGAAAATAAAACATATTTAGTTGCGTGCAAAACACAGATGCTGTTTAATTTAATTTGTAATAAAATGTTTATAGAAATTAATGCGAAAGTTTTATTCTAAGCATATATTTTAAAAAATTATTTTTCCGTTATTTATTAATGTACTAACACATATGCTGTGTACTCTTTTCTACACCAAATAGTTGATCAATGTGTATTTTTTGCTGTAATCAATTAATTTTTTTATTATTAACATTACTTTTACTTTTGTTTATGTTTATCAACTTTTTACTTTATGCACTTTTAAAATTTTTTAATTATCGGGTTAAAAGAATTTTAGTTTATTAAATAATACTAAATTAAAAAAAATGAATTGAACTTACTTTCTTTACCATTAAATATTTCATTTTTAATAAGTATAAACAAATCTGTCATAAATCTTTCTAAACAAATGGCATGTTCATTTATGGATGATGACTAAAAAAGCTTTCTGTGACTAAAAAAGGATTGAATTTCGTAACATATATTCTCATGCAAATTTGATGTATTCCATTTCGCTCCTTTACAAAACGTAAAGTACGAGGTAAAGCAGCATCAGCGAGCTCTTATGCATTCTCATTTTTTTCTCAATATACGTATTCGCGCGACACGAGAAAGTACTTCAATTCAAACGATTTACAAATACGGTTTATGTATTTGAACGCAAGAAAAGATGCTTTTTGCTTGTCGTTGCTATTTTACTGCCATACTGCCACTATAAGAGACAGCCGCTATAAGAGACCATCGTTGTTTAAACTCAAATAACGGTGAGTTAAACCTGGATGTGTTCTCGGATATCAGATTAGATTGAATTAAGTCAAAATCCGTAAAATAATATGTTATCTTAAAATAATAAGTTGTCCCTAAGTATATAAGTGATTAACTAAGATTAATGTACAAATAATTTCTTCTAAAGTTAATATCTAAGTTGTATATATGTATATAATACATTCTATAGAATTAAATCATATAATAGAATAATTTGGAAAAATTATGATTTTATAATCCAGATAATTTTGCAGAAATAGGATAGAAAGTTATAGCGTAACTCAATATTCCTCGATCGTGCGCGCGGTTTCCGATGCCAAACGGCTGTCGCAATTTCAGTAATGAGCCAATGAGCCGAAAATTAGAACGATTCACCTAGTGTAGAAACGAGTGCGAATATTCACAATGTTGACGATCGACCCGGAATAATCCGCATCGGCCAGAATTGTTGGAGTACATTTGCAAATAACGTGAGTTGTGAATAACGCTGAGCGCGGATGTATCGTGATCGAATATCGAAATGTATCGAGATGACGAACACGTTCATATGTAAAAATGTTTGTACGTATTTTTTACATCTATGCATCTCAATATTTCGTTTTATTTCTTCTATGCGGATTCACGTTCACGTTATTCTCGCGTTTATTTATTCTTGAAAATATATCGGAAAATATATACATGAGTGTTTCAACAGTCATATTAGAAATGATGC